GCGGATGTGGATTAAAGCTTATTTAGACTGGAAGCTTGTAGAAGTTCCTCTTATCCTTGGATCTTTTTTTTTTTTGAGTTATCTCTAATGATATTTTAGTACTGAATTTGCTTTTGTACATACAGACTTATCAGCTTCTGAACTCTGATGACCATGCTAATTTCTTGCGGAAGAATAAAAAAAATCCTGCTGATTATCGCCCTGATATTACTCACCAGGTCTGTGAACTTTCTACCAAACAAAATTGATGTTAAATGCTATAAGTTATTTTTTTTTTTTAATTTTTGATTCCGCAAATAATTAATTTATCTAAAGTTCTGAAGATGGTCGGTTTGTCTCATGTTATTGTGTAACGAGACAACAAGTTTGCAGGAAGTTCTAACTTCTTTCTGTGAGCAAACTACTTAGCAGTGTATTTTGGAGAAAAAAGGATTGTTCAAAACTGGAAAGGCATTGTATTTCTATTGGCACATTAATTTTATTGTAGTAGTTAACTTGTCCTTGTTTGCCAACAATGTCATTGTTTTTATTTTCAGGCTCTACTAACGATTCTGGACAGTCCAGTTAATAAGGCTGGGAGGTTGCAAGCTGTTTATGTAAGAACAGAAAAAGGTGTTCTTTTTGAAATCAAACCACATGTACGAATTCCGAGAACATATAAACGATTCTCTGGTATCATGTGTAAGTTCTGCGAGTTTCGCTCAAATCCTTTCTGAATTGTGCGGATTATATTGCTCTTTTCCTCTCCTTTACTTATCGGTTTCCTTTGAAATTTCTGTTATGTCTACTTTGTTTCTTATTCTATTTAACAACATTGCAGTGCAGCTGTTGCAAAAGCTAAGTATAACAGCTGTTGGTAAGCGAGAGAAACTTCTTCGTGTGATAAAAAATCCTGTAACACAATATTTACCCGTGAACTCCCGTAAAATAGGTGAGTCTAAATCAAAATACGTTTCCAAAGTTTTTCAATCACAAGGCATCTAGTGGTGTTGCTGATACATAAAAAATTGCACACAGGTGGAGTATGTATCAAAAGATCCATTAAGTCCCCTAACTTACCAAAATGGTAGTAGGGTGATCACTGAACTCTAGGTTTTGCATATGAAACATTCATATAAATTTTGTATTGTTATAAGCCATCACTAAAAATGATCAATTGCTTGCTTTCAGGTTTTTCCCACAGTTCAGAAAAATTGGTTAACATGAATAAGTATATAGCTGCAACTGGTGGTGACACAGACCTTGTATTTGTGGTACGTACAGACGGGCTTATTTCTCCCTATATAATATATTCTATGTATTTTGGCCCACCTGTTGTCTTTCATTTTGCAACTTTGCAACCTTCTTAATGGTTCTTTTTTCTTCTTTTTCTCTAGATTGGTGCCATGGCCCATGGAAAAATAGAAACTGATTATACGGAAGATTTTCTTGCTAGTAAGTTTTTCTGTTCTTTTCTTCTTAACCTATGTAGCCATTATCCGTTTTCTGGAAGGGTTTGTGTTGTCCTGACAAACAGGTTAACTTGATGTGCTGCTCACTTGTATATGTGCGGTTATATGTGTATATATATGACTTGAGATTTTTTATTTATAGCCTAGGACAAAGGGTTTTTATTTTTAGCAATATTATGTTCTAAACATGGGGGCACCACTCTGCAAATTCACCTCAAAAGAACATACACTTAAACAACTCGAGAGAAGGCCCCACATTTTCTCGCCCACTCATGGAGAAACTAATGCTAGTGTAATGACGTAGTCTAATGTTTATAAATTTGGATTTTCAGATTGCTTAGTAAGAATGTCTTTCTTCCTTTTTGTTCTTGTAATGTGGCTTTTGTTATTTTCAAAGTGTTGTGAAATCTCAGTGGTAAGCAGCTTTTCTGTTTCCTTGTTGTTAGGGTAATATTGGTCCAATTTTGGCAGAGTTCATTTTTCCATCTACTTGAGTATTATTCTGACATATGGTTTTGCCTATTAAAACATAATCTTGCTGTTGTCTGTTCTGCCATTTGTGTTTTTTTCTCTTTTGCAGTTTCTGGTTACCCGCTGAGTGCAGCCTACTGTATCTCGAGGATTTGCGAGGCTTTGGCAGAAAACTGGGACATACTATAGACTCCAAGCAATCTCTAGAGAAGCCAGTATTTGTTTTTGACTGAAGTTCGGTCATTTTGTTTTTTAGTGGATGCAGAGAATACATAAATATTGTTCTTCTTTACTCAATTTTGTAAGACTAGATTAAGTAGTAATTGAGAGTTTTTTTCCGAGCATTAATCTCGCTTAAAAATGATAGATGGACAAATTTTGAGTTGAATATTTAAAGCTCTTTTTTTCGTTTCTATAAATCTGGTGCAAATTTTGAGTCCTAGGACTGGAATCAATATATTGTAACATGCATATTGAGAATGCAAATTTGTTGGTAAGTTTTAAGTCATAAATCAGGTATGACGTTTGATATTTTTCCCCGCAACGGTTTAAGCCAAGTAAATAAGTTACATTACAAACATCTGTGTGGATGGTATATTTGAAAGGATTATTTCAATGTACATTCTTATTTATATCTCGGCACAATTTTCCTTTTATTGTAAATTTGTCTTCATTGATTCTGTCGTTTGTGGATTAATCCATTTCATTTGGTTTTGATTTTATAAATCTTATTGTTCCATTTGCAGGTGCAAAGGATTCTTTAAATATGATTTATGAATATAATATGTTGTGGGGTTCAGGAATTCCTTCGTATCTATCATTTATTTAATGTGAGGATTTGGAATTTTAGGTTTTGTTTGCTATATACTTAAAATTTTTTTTTTTTAAATATATATATATATATATTATTTACAAAAGTATGTATATCGGTTATGAAGAGAATAATAATATAAACAATGATAAAAGTAAAAATTTTAAAATATTATTCTAGTGTATTTTTACAAAATTATCGTGCTTATACTGTTATCATTGTAAAAGTAAACAATCTTTATATATTTTTTGTAATTGATAAATGCATATAATAAATTTTAAAAATAAAAATTACAAAATATTTTCATGTATTAGACAAAACCTTAATTTTTTTATAAAGTTAATGAATTCATTGAGAATGGGCACTTTTAAAACATACTTTTTGTATAACTCTGTTTATTTTCATTGAGTTCTCATTTACTGTAATAGATTTTGCATTTGCTCTGATTTTATAAAATATTGATATGTTATAATTTCCTCATTTTCTGAAATTTGCATATGTTATTGGTGACAGTTTATAATTTATCGTAATTAATTGATTTTAGAAAAGGTAGATGTGAATGCAGAATTGGGTTCCTAGTTGTTATGAAATGGCTTTTGTGTGTCTTAGGATGATTAGCACGCTTCTAAGCCAATATTTGAAGTATCTCAAAGTTTTTGTATAAATTAATGAGTTATTTAGAACAATCTCTTTTGGATTTTCACTACCGAAGATTCTTTCCGAAAAATGTAACTTATTGTTGGTGTAAGTAATTGAAGGTTTTTCTTTATGTGATTTATTTTTAGTCTGTTTCCTTTTTATCAGTGGACTACATGTATATTTTTCATTTGAAAGAAAGATTCGCGCATAACTGATTTCTCCTATTATTTTGTCTACCAACTAATATAAATAATAAGTTATTTTTTCTCATCCTACATTTGAAACTTCTCTCACTGCTTCAACAGAAAAAGAAAAGATTTTATAAAATTAGAGAAGAGAAAATGGCACCAAAGAACTTGATATTGTTGTTTTTTTTTTTTTTTTGTTTTATGTGCAATGACGATGGTATGGGTTCCAAGAGCGCAAATTGGTAGCCATTTGACACGTTGGACGACAATGGGAAGTTGTTCGGAGGATATAAAGAAGATACTTAGTTCGGGGCGTGTAATAGAGAGTCCCAAACCTGAGTGCTGGAAAGCTATCAACGGACTCGATGATTATTGCTGGCCAATTAAACTTCCTAAACACCTAGAAAACCGTTTTTTCCTCAGCTCTTTGTTCTTTTTCTAGAAACTTAAGTACACATCAGGTGTAAAGCTGTTAGTTATAATTACGACGAGACTTACGTCATTTAAGATTATTATTTACATTTAAATTTAATTAAATAATTGAATCTAGTTATCCTATTTGTAACCAAAATATCTCACCAACAGAACTATGAAAAAATCAGTAATCAATACTCTGAGCATACCATTAAAAAAAAATAAAAAAAAAAAAACTCTTCTTTTTATTATATATTAACATGATTTTTTTTATTTTTGAAGATTTAAATCCAAAACATTTTAATCAAATGAAACCTCACAATTATTTCCAAAAAATAAGTTGTAAACAATGTCTCAAACTGATTTTGACACTTAAAAAAACTTTGACCAATAAATTTCTAGCAATCTCACCAATGGAAGAAATATTGTCTTTTCCATGAAACCATCCGCTTTTACATAATTATATAATTAGTATACTTTTTTCTAAATGCAAATCATTTACACAAGCTAGATGGTGTACAATTGGTTAATTAGAAGTAAGGATCTTACTTGACAGTAGCAGCAGCAAGCTGCTTCTTAAGATTGAGTACCTCAAGTCCTTTTGATGCCAACCTATTCTTAAGGTTGGCTGAAGCTTCTTCAAACTTTCTGTTCATAAGATCTAACTCCTCCATTGCCTGTTGGTATCTGAACCGAAAGGCATCTAACTGCGCTTGTGTCCCTCGAAGCTTCATCCTCAGCTTTGCCTTTTCCTTGCCGTTGTTCAGTTTGTCCTGTTTTAAGTTTAACCATCAAACAGGGAATGAGTCAGGGATGATGTCTCCCAATTTATAGAAACCTGAAAATCAAATCACAGCTTCCTGTATAAACATGAAAATCAAATTATGGCTTCCTGTATGATTTCATGTCAATGCATAAAAAGATTCTTCCCAAATATGTAATAGCAAGTGCAGATGGGGAGAAAAGAATTAGGTAAGAACAGTTTCAACTTCTATAGTTTAGCCTCGTCACAGTTCAAATTTGGTACTTAATGTGGCAATTCAATTATGTGACTTTATTTTTTTATTATACATAAAATCATTTAAATATCCACACTTCTCTAGACTCTTCAATGCGCACGTGTCGAAATTTAATGCTAGACAAATAAAAAATAGGAGAGAAAAATCATAAGATAGTAGCTTTTTACCTAATGATTTATCTAAAAGCTCAACACAAATAGACTTAATTTTCATTAAACAAATTACAAGATTTAAATTGCAGTAGGACCAAACTATAGGAGATGGAACTTTAGTTTGCATATATTTTTATTTACAAATTGTCTTATTAAATTTATTATAGTTATGAAGAAGAGGAAACCTTTTTGCTTATGAAATACATGAATAACAGTTGCTTTGTTGCATCTCTCTTTTTTTTATTTGTTCAGAATCTGTTACTGTTATATAGTTATTTTAAGTAATTATCTAGAAGAATTTAAATTTTAAGCACAAGTCCCCTATAACTAACACAAGTTTGCTATCTTTTCTGTTGAATTTCAAACTCTAAACCTCTAGAATCTATGACTTTGACTTCAAGACTCTTTAAATAATTAATTGAGACGAGTTAGTCTAAAAGGTTAAACTGACACTGAGGCGGTTATAATACTAATAACTATAGAAGGACGTAAACAACATATGAACTCCCTTCATTTTGGAGAAACAGTGAGGTACAGATAATAACAATCTCTGTTGATCAAATAAAATTCTTTTAAATAGAATAGACTGCACCTTGCTATTGATTAGTTCTTTGCCAACAGAGACTGGACAATCTCGAAAACCATTTTGAAGGATTTGAGGTTTAAAGTTCAACATAACACATTTTTCCATATGGAGACATCAAGTCAACCAATCCAAGTTACAAAGAGTGGCAACAGCAGAGCAGCCTAAAACCCTAATAACCATTTGAGGACAACATATTTTGAAGAAGATTGAGCTATCATCAGTTTTGGACAGCAGGTTTTCAAGTGCCTAGAATATTCTCATAATCAATTTAGAGCAGTAAGCTTCCAATACTAAATGCAATTTATTA